TGGAATGAGATCATCTTTAGAGTCACTCCCAAACCTAACCATTATAAGATATTCTGGGCATCTGAACCCTTGGACATGCAGAAAGCAAACCTTGATCACTGGCCCTTGATCATGAAACTCAAGACTGAAATCAGAACAGGAGATGTGTGAAGGTGGATGCAAAGATGGCACAGGGCTGCCTCATTCTCTCTTTGTTGTCGTGTACACAGCCACTTCTCAATCAGCCTGGTCATGATCTCATCTATTGTGTGGATAAGAGCTCCAAAATAGAGCCCTGTGATCAAAATGTCCAGAAACGTGAGGTCATGACATCAAAAGGCCAGTTCTGTGACGAAAATATGGCTTTCAGGCACCGCTGGCCTCAAAGCTCAGTTCTAAAACAAAGGAGAAGTCTATATTTGGGGACATTCATGCAAAGCATTACCACTCATTGTTCATCAGAGGTGCCAAAGCAGCTAGAGATTACCATAACAAACAAACAATCAAACAAACAAAAAACTCAAAGGGACAAGAAAAAATAGGAAAGGAAAGAAAACTATCCAGCTCATGAATGTAAAGTGCTGCAGGAAAAAAAACTCCTTCCCCCTCCCCCCCAGGTCGTAGCTGAACTCTGCAGTCACCTGCCCAGAACTGCAGGGACCCACAGTGGTAGCAAGTGGCTGACTTTCCCGGGAAAGTTTTTTGTTATCCTCATATTGCTTCGTTTTTTACACCACATCTGTGCTTGCTTCGTCATTCTGCCATCTGCTGTAACAAAATACAGACAAAGCATTTCAGAGAACAACCCCTCCACACTTTAAAATGCTCCAAGCTGGAGCACAGCCTTTTCACTTCTTACAAGCTCTGGTGCTTTTTATCTGATTCTACTCCTCTTCCTCCTCTTCCTCCTCCTGCCCATATCCATGATGAACTACACATGCTTAGCAAGTATGGAGAGCAGTTGCTTTTGCCACAATATTTCTATTAAATGAAACAAATGTTCCTGTGCTTGACTTCACTGCGCAAACGTTTGCATTTGCCAAGAGGTCAGAGATAGCAGGTCATTACAATGAAATTTTTAATTTTGAAACTCCCGATCAGGCTTGTTTCCTGTTTGGTATTGTCTGCAGATACACAATGCAAAAGCCTCGGGTTGCTAAAGAATTGAAATAACAGAGTATGAGCAGAGTGGTTTTGAGCACACACTCTGTAAAGTCCAGTCAAAGTTTCTTCCTGGTGCAGCCGCACAAATCTCTTGGTAGCAGTAAACTCTCTGCACAGACTTCATTCCTGAACACATGTTCAAAGGTGGTAAAATAAATGCAGATGGTTTTCCAAAACCTCAGTGGAGCATTTTTTGCTGTTACTAAATGGACTGGAAAAAAACTAGGGGGTAAAAAGCAGAGAAAATACATTTTGACACAGACAGGCAATTTCAGAATAGCATTTGGTCATTTGGGAGAAAATCTAAATATAATGTGTGTTTATAATGATCTATTGGCAAAACAATATTGACAGAGCATCTGAGCTGCCTAATGGAAGTGATTTTTAGAATGCTTAAATTAAACTGGCATTGAGAGCTGAATATTTTGTTTAATTGCTTAACACAAACAAAAAAAAGTTGGATACGAATTTTGAATTCATTGTGCCATGACCAAAGTTGGCAATAAAACCATCCCTGGCTACAGTGAAAAGAGAATTAGACCTTAACAAATTTATTACAGCCTTTGTTTACAAACTTGTTACAAAATTATACAGCATCTTATGCATACACAGGATTTACAGGAAAGTGTTACTGATGTGTGGGATTACTTTGCTCTCGGGTCGAAATGCGCAGGTTTTTCTTCGCTCAGGGCCTGATCCAGATTCCACCAGAGAAGGTGAGATTTTTTTTTTCCGCCATTGAGTTTAGTGGAAGCTGGATCAGATCCAGAGGGTAACACTTCCACTCATTGTTTTCCTGGGATGGGAAAGGAGCAGCCAGCCTAATAACCGTACACACCACACTCCATTCTCATCTCATGTGTTTCAGATGACAGGCATATTTACTCTGAGATATTTTTGCTGGCTGCTTGTAAAATACTTGTTAAAGTCAAGAGTCAAAGACCAGTTCCTGTTACTGGATTTACAGTGGAAAATGACAAATGGCTTTCTTTGAACCCTTAAGGAATGAACCTCCCGTGATTTTCAGTGAGCATAAAAAAAAAGGCATTAGAATCAACTCTGATGTTGTCTATATTGTTATAGAGCTATATTTTCTTTCCTGTCTTCAACAGACCTTCTCTGAATTTACAGTAACAAAATCTGGAGACATGGGTTTATGTAAACAAAAGTGACATCCACATTGCCAAAGAAGGCAGTTTCTGATTAATGGGATTGGTCTTCTTACCTCCTCTTCTCACATGGAGATAGACCTATGTGGCACAGTGGAACAAGGAGATCTCTAAAGTTAGTGATCCATAACTATATAAGCTCTCAATTGCTCCCAGCATGTGCAAAAGATCTTTATTTGGGAACTCAGGGTGTAAAATCAAGCTTTTAATTTACAAAAAATCCAGTGTGGCAGAACTCTGAAAAATATGCTTATTCCCCCAAGCCAAAATGGTTAGTTGAAGCTTAAACTTTTGTAGTGGGAAAAGTAGCAAAAGCTCTGTGGAGTTGGGTTTTTTTCTTTTTAAAAATTTTGCCAAGAAATGAGAAATATTCTAATCAGATCTGTCAGATATTGACTTCCATGTTATATTCCATCCTCTCATTTTAATGACTGCCTTGTATTGAACCTCTGAAGTGGTTATTACTTGAAGCAAAGTTAGGATTTAGTGCTGAAAGTGATGATACTTCCTGTGAGGTAAATACCCTGGCCTCATGCTGAAAATTGAGATGGTTCTCAAAAGCTTTGCTTCTGGCCTCCCCTGAAGAAAATACCCACATGCTCTAACCTGGCTTTCCAAGATAGGACTGTTCCATTGCTTGGCCTCCAGGCAACCTGTCCAGCTCCAGGTGGTTTTATGGTGTGCAGCGCTCTCTGTAAGGGATTACGGGATACCCCACAGTTTGCTACCTTTCATGGCCTGTTGCATGTTTGAAGCTGGTTTTCCAGGGGTGAAAGCTGCATGAACAAAGGCCTCCTGCAGCCTCATGTTTGAGGGCTCTGATCTCATTTCCATTTGTGATGCTGAACACGCTATGGCAGCAAAGGCTATAGCTGTAAACCCCTCCGAAAATAAATGAGGGTAAAACCTTCTGAATAGCTGGTATTTCCCAGCCCTGGCTGTGGGTTAGATCTGTCTGGACACAGATAACATGTGGTTCAATTTGAATTCTGTTCCTAGACATGAACTCTCATTTGCTTCCTGGGAGTGGGATCCCAACCAGGGCATTGCACAGCTAACATGTAATGGGACATCTCTTCAAGTAGTGTCATTATTCCTGTCGTCAGTGGGGCTACATGACAATCCACAGAAGACTCTGAGGTAAATACACGCTAGCACATTTGTCTCTCCTAAGCAACAACTCATATGTTTAATTGGGCAACTTCAGTATAACTATAGACTTAATAGATTTTAGCCACCATCCATTTCACATTCCTGTGATAGGTACCAGGTTTCTCAAGCAGTTCAACAACACATTTTCCCCCTGGGAAAGATGGAGAATGGATCACTGAGGAGAAGGAAACCTTCGTACAGGCTTGTGGCCAGGATATCGCATCTTTCTTTACTACGATGTGCAAGCCAAGAACTCTTTTAAGGTTAAGACACTCCCAGCTTTGTTTCTAATTTAAAAACTCAGAGAGGAATGATCCAACAATGCAAGCAGAAGATAGTTGATTCATGTGAGGAGGAAGAGGCTGATCACAACAAACCCATCTTTTATGTATTATATTAATGATCCATTTAGATCAGTTCTTGACTTCAGCAAGTTTTGGCTACAAATATTTCAGATTCTTTTTCATATTTTTGCAATGATGCACTGGCAGCGTTAGAAACAGTTGCAAAACAAATGTGCTTCCTAAACGCAGATGGATGTTCCTGGATTATTAGAAGCCATTCTGAATTGCTATCAGAGGGAAAATGGTCATTTCACTGGCAAAACTGGCGTACACAGAAACTATATTTTAGGGCTACCTGATGCCTGAAAATTTGACATCATCTGCAGGCTGCAACGTGTATTTTGGTCCTTTTTTTTTTGGTGGTGAGGAGTCAACACTGCAGATCTAATTAAATATGAATGTGTAGAGCAGGGAATATAAATATGTACACAAGTCTTGGCATTGATCTGATTTTTAACAAGTTTACTAAATGACAGTCACCGGTTTGACAATACTGAATGAAAAATACTGATTTTACAGATTTTACAGGAAGGTTAAGGTATGCTGCCGACAAGCAGTGTCACATAGTCTAAAAAACCCCAGAGTTGGCCACAGTAGAGGCACACACCCTTTGCTCTTGTTTATTGAGAGAGAAAGCTTATATACTGTAGATTTGCTGAAGTTTAATAAATAAGGTCAACTTATAATATATATAAAACAATATAAACATTTATATGCTACATGCGTATCATATAATTTAAAGTAATAATTTATATAGCAAAGAGATGCAGATCTATGTTCTTCCTGTTTTCCTGGACAAGGCACACACACAGGAGGTGTCTATCCGTATCCACCTCCAGCCCACCAGTTTGTTGTTTTCTGAAGTCAGTGCTCTGACATAAGTTTGGGATGTCTTGCATTGGGAGTTCCAGTGCTTGTCATCAATGCCACGGCAGCCATTTTTTACAGGCTTGGCCTCTTTACACCTCGTTTCATAAAAGTATTGCTTAACTGGAGAGTTGCCTGTTTTAATTTCTCCCAGAACAGTCACCTGGTGTCCCCTGATGTCGATGGCGGAGGATTTGTCCGTGACCCACAAACTTTCACTGTCACAAACGGAGTATTCCCCCCGGTGGCCCCTGTGCTCTGCATACCTCTTCCGCCGGGAGGTTCTGTTCACCACCACGGAATTCCCGATGTAATCCTCCATGAGGTACAGGGGCGGCGGCTCCAGCGGCGTGTTGTCACTCAGAAGGACTCGGGGAGAATTGTAGCGTCTCTGCTGCCTCAGGAGATCTGTATCCACTGAGAAAACTGGCTGGAAGTCTGATTTCACATTTTCCTCTCTGTCTATGTCTTGCTGAGCGTCTGTTTTCTGCACTGTGTTTTGATAGTTTTCCTTAATGTCTACCATCTGCTTAGAAAACTTGTTTTTTAAAATGTCTGCCTGAATGAGTTTAATAATAAGAGAATTTATCGAATCTTCTGGCAAACTCCTTTGATCCATGTTGGAAGACTGGATGCCACGCAGGTAAGTGAGAAATATCACATAAAACAAGATGGACATCACCTTGTTCACCTGTAAGATCTGCAAAGAAACAGAGAGTCAATGTTAAAACAGTCCAAGAGGGAGGTTTGCTAGAGGCTGTAAACATGAAAATTGGGATTTTTTTAGTAACATCTATGTTACTAAGATATGAGGCACATACAGAGGTATGGAAACAGGTTGTGTGTTTCTTTGAAGATGCTATTTGTTATACTTTATAATGAATGCAAACTCTCTTCTGAATTTTTTTTTTTCAATATTTCATCTATATTTTAGGCCTTGCTTTTCCCCTTTCCATGCCTAGTGGCATATATATCAGCTAAGCCCTTTCTTTGCAGAGGTAGGTAGCTCTTGGGATAGCATGGCCTGGGCTTGGCAGCAGAGGGAGGCGAAGTTACTTCCACAGAGTTTATTCCACTGAGAAGTTTAGTTTCAAACTTGCAGGATCATGCACAGTAGAAAACTGTTTCACTATGTGAAATGAAAAAGTTCTGACTTTGATAACTGTTGTCAGGTTTTGTGTGCTGAGATCTCTCAGACTCATCTAATTCATATTTATCAAGTGGCTTCTATTTAATGTTACCATAAGAAGGAAATAAATCCTGTGTTTCAATAGTGCTTTTGTTTTCTTTCTCTCTCTAGTAAGGGAAAGGGTTCCTGAAGGAAAATGATGCAGTCAAATCAGAAAGTGGTTATTAGGCCTCTATAATACAAGTGGGGAATTCAGAAGGACCCAGTGACCCAACTCCCATTTTGTGGGAGTTGTTTTCAGGACTGGGGATCTTTTTTTTGGTGGTTTTTTAAGAAGTTACATTTATATAAGGTGAAACAAAGCTGACATCAATTAGAAATATTCAAGGACAGATTGGGGTCATCCCTCTCCCCACCATCTCCTAAAACTCAAAAATCTTGTTCAATGATTCAGTATTTTGAAAGCCATTTCTAAAAGTGTGCTACTTCTTGGTACTTTGCCATGCACTGCTCTATTTGGCTTCCTGTGGTCTCCTTCTAATTCTACCTTCTGTCCATATTCTAGAAGTTCATTTGTCACTTATTTTTTAAGCCTTTTTGTCATCTTTTTGTTTGTGTAGCTGACAGCCAGGAGCAACTGTCCAGGGAGGACAGATTTTTTTTTTCCTTGTATATTTGGACACCTGTGTATTTGGTATTGTCATTAATATTTAAATTAAATCAATTTTCAAAGTAAAATCCTAAGTCATGGATGTGAACCATTCACTAAAGATCACACCTGCTTATAAATTTGCTGCACAACTAGTGGATTGAAGGAGAAAATACAAAACTCCTCTTAGAGCACCCTCATAGTCTATGATAAACCCTGACTGTAATACTCCTTCAAATTACTCAGCAAGGCCTTGAATTTGATTTTCCTGCTCTGCAAACACATCCACCATGTGTCAGAGACCTCTGGCACTCTGGGATGAAGGCACAGAGTCACAGACTGTGGGACAGATGGAGTTGGGAGGATCCTCAGGACATTATGTAGGCCAATCTCACTCCTCACAGGAGTATCAGATAGGGCAGCTTGCAGAGAGCTCTGCCTACTCAGATCTGGAATATCTACATGGATGGAGACTCCACAACCTCTAGACAAGCCATTCCAGTGTTTCAACACCCTTAAACTTAACAAAAATACATTTCATGTATCAGCAGTGTTTCCTATATTTCAGTTTTTTCCCATTGCCTTCTGTCCTATCATGGACACACCTGAGTAGAGCCTGGCTCCATCTTTATTAATCCCTTCTGTGAGGTATCTCTGCACTTCAATAAAATCCCCCTGGAACTTCTCTTCTGCAGCATGAACAGCCCCAGCTCTGTCAGCCTCTCGAGGTACAGTTGTCCTAATCCTTAATAATTTTCATGGATTTGCTCCTGTACTAAGGAGCCCAGAACTGGACACAGCACCCCAGATGTGCATCACCAGTGCTGAGATAAGGGGAAGGATCCCCTCCCCCCTGAACAGAAAATTTTCCACTTAAAAAAAAAAATCACCATTTTCTGCTTAGAGGGTGAGCCATTTTCTGTTTCAGAAGGCAAAGGAAAAAAGAAGAAAAAAATCTTTAGCTGAAGAACGTTTTATCCACTCTAAACAAAACTCCTTTTTGCAAGATTGAGTCCCCAATTTGCAGTTTGGAACAGCAGCAATATCAGAGCTACCCTCTGTGTATGTGTGAGCTGTCCTTTTATGGACAAGAAATGTGTTTTCTCCATTCTCAGTTTGTCACAGTGTGAGTTCACCTAAATCTAGACTGTTGCCTGCAGTAATGTTTTGCTTTTGAGGGGGGGAAAAAATCGAAGATGTTCAGTTACCATACAATTACTGCCATACCTGAATAAATACGAACTTAATGTAGATGGATCTCAGAGCCCAGACCTTTCTGTCTATGCAGCTGCTGTGCAATTTCGCCTTCCCTCAGCATAGGATTTTCTTTTAAAAACAGTAAAAATATTATTAAACAGATGTCCTTGAGCAGATTTCTTGCAGGGCCCAGAATCCACACATGAGATGACACACAAGCCCACAGGATGGTGAGCAAAGCTCTGATATGGCTCAGCTCAAAAGCCAGAAGCACTATTCATGCCAACATGCAGCTGCATGCAATCCCTGCTCTGCTCAGTCTCAAAATTAAGTGGCACTAGCAAAACACACAAGTTGGAGTGTGATGAGGTGGGAAGAGTAAGGCTGGAGTTCCTGCAGGCTCTCCTCAATGTCATGCTGCACACAGAAAGGAAGGGATGGGGACCTGAGAGCTGGAGAAGCTAAAATGAGCTGTTTTTCTTCTCCGTGGAGGAACCCCATTAATGGGAAAAATGTTGAAAAGTGTTTTCCTGAACTTCATGTGCAACGTCTTATGGATTTGGTGGGAATGATGCTAACTTTGAAATTCAACCTGTAGTTTGATTTATTTTGCAGATTATTTGCTGCAAAAGTAAAAAGGTTTTAGAACAAGTATTTATATTTTTCTGGGTGCAAAACTTTGGCAAAACCACAAAGATTGGTGAGATTATAGTTTTCAGGGAGTTCCTCCAACCTAGGAGGTTCATAAAGTGCTGTTCAGAAGTTGCAGTCCATGACTAAAAATTGTCAGGCTGTCGATGAAGTCCAGCACCTCAGAGTATGTCTAAAGCACTATTTTAGATAGGAGAAATGAGTGTTATTGGAAAACTCCAGCTGGTTTATGGCCTTGTCTGTAATGTGGTTATAAGACACATTAAAAGTATATTTGTTTGCAGGTCTGGGGAGTATTGCATTTGATGAATGGCTCTTTGCCCAAAATGGAACGTTGTGCCTGTCTGAACTGCAGATAATTTGAGATTTATTTGGCATGTGTGTTGTTAAATCTGTAAAAAGGAGAGGAAAATGTAAAACATTAACATGTCTATCTTTTCATATTTTCAAAGCAAATAATTCTGGTGTTTCTGGCCATGCCTCCAGAAGTTCCACATGCAAATCACAAAGCAGAACAAATGCTTTCTCAGTGCAGACCAGTGAGTAAATTATCTATAGAGAGGACTCGGATTGGGGGCATGATTTCAGCATATGTGTCCTGTCTGAGGGAATACTGACTCAAATTCCAGGTTCCTGGAGGGCCCAGGATTCTGTGAACCTCAGCAGGAGCTACTTCAGCACAAGCAGCTCTTTCTCTGGCCTTTTGGAGAATGGTCTAAAAATCTCACAAGAATTAAATCCTTCATGTGACCTTTTCTGCTCTTTCACTGGGATTTTTTTGTTTTGTTTTGTTTTTCAATTCAGATTGTTCATTACAAGTGGAAAGATTTTTCCCAAGTGAAATTATTTTCCTTGGTTAGGTGATGCTAGTGAGATATTTTTGTTGTTCTTCATGGTTCTTCTTGGAATTTTCCACATGTAAATTCCTGACAAACGTTCATTTTGGCTGCATTTGTGGCTGGTTTGCACTAAGTAAATTGGACTTGGAGACTGCTGACATTTGTGGCTCAGAGAGGAAAAGCAAAGAACACAGAAAACAAAAGTTCATGCATTTCAAATCTGATTATCTCCCAAATGTGGCTTTACTCTATTTTTTTGGTTTGTATTCCTGCCTAACGCTGCAGTTTTAGCAGGCTATTAATTCTGTCTGAGCTAGGTGGCTCAAGGTCTACATTTAAGGAGAAGTTAATAAACTTACTTCTTCCTTCCATTGATAAATTCAATCCCTAATAAACTCTGGCAAACCATTTGCCTCCCTTTCCAGACTCACCACTTTATGTAGTAGTGAAAAATTTTGTTTAGTTTTGTTTGTGGTGATTTATTCTGGTCAGTTTCTGAACATTGCACACAGGGGAAGATTGAGACATCATTTAAAATGTTCTGCAGAAAGCATGAAAGCCTAGTACTGTGAGAGACTGCCCAAGTATTTATTTGTAAGTCATTGCTAAGAGAAAGTGGAATAGAAGGAAAAGTGACTGGTGATTTTTACATTTAGAATTGTAATACCCCACATGTTTTATGTAAGCCAGCTTGAAGTGTTTGGCACTTCCTTAAAAATTTAGGAGCAGCTTCAGCTCTTCAGACCAAGCAACTAATAATCCTTTGTGGTGGCTGACAGCTTTTCCAAGCTTTTACCAAAGAGGAAAGCATGATTATTGTCACGTTTGCTGAACACTGCTTCCACAACCTCCCAAGTCATGGACTGCCCTGTTGATTTCCCTCTTCCTAATAACTATGTTGGGAAGAAATGCAGCCCTCTTTCTCTGTGCTTTGGGGGACATGGGGAAGATACAGAACAAGAAAAGAATTCTGAATGTTCAAGAAGGTGGGAATGTGACATAACGGTGTCTGAAAATGTGCACTGTATTTCAGAATAGTAATCAACTGTTTGTACAAGATGGATTTATGAAGGTAGGTTACTGGAGAGTGCTGAATGTCCCTGCAGATGCCCTCCTGAACGCTTTTACTTCTCAGGATATGGAAGTTTCAACAGAGACAGATTGAAACTAAAGCTTTC